TCATCTCAATGTATCTTTGTGGCCCTTTCCATTGAAGTTCTGGCTTTTAAAATATGCCTTTATGGAAAACATCTCTCAGTACATAATCTCACATTTAGTCTCAGAAATTCAAAAGCAGACAGAGTTAACTTATTTGTGTGGGGGTGGGGAGGTGGGCAGTGGACAACTTCTAAACTGTCAGCTCTCATTTATCAGAGGGAGGAATGGAAGAGAGAATTCCCACTGGCACCTGCCCTGGCTGCCTTGTGCTGGGTGCTCCTGTGTCCGTGAGACCCTCAGAAGAGGTAGGGTTCTTCCCCCACCACACCCCGTTTACAGAATAAGAAGTTGAAGCTCGAGGACCGGTCCAAAGTCCCAATGTGAGGAGACGAGGCCAAGATTTGAGTTGAGGGCTCCTGACTCTGAGTTGGGGGTCCTATCCCCAGTCCCACACTCCCTCCATAAAGTCTTCAGCGGACACCTCACCTGGCCCTCCACAGCTACACCTATATATGTAACAGATTTCCCATCAAAGTTCGATGCTCTGACCTGGCCATCTTAATGGAGCCACACAACCACCTCACTGCCGCTGTCTTCTGCTACTTGATTGTTTGCCAATTCTTCAGTGCTAAGTATTTTTCTGACTAGTTTTCATTCATCATTTAATTTTCTGACCTTTGTCAAAGGAAAAGGGAATGTTTGAATGCAAGAGATTTGCTAGAGCTCTGCAGGGGTTCCTGAGAGAAAACTGTTGGGAAATGTGGTTATTGATGGAAGCTAATGGGTCCTGGGTATCATGGGAAATGCAGGACACAGGAGACATGGAGTTTTCTGTTCGTTTTTGTTAACGGCAGAAAATTTTAAACACTTGTACACCATTTTGTACCTACTCCATGATTTTAGAAAGCATGCCATACCTAAAAGCCTTAAAGGAAAGAATCGCCAGATTTGCCTTTAAAAAAGAAGCCCTGTCGAGCTGTTGATTGGAATGCCGTCCAGTATACTGAAGGGTTGAGGTTCGACTCCTGGTCAGGACACATGCCCAGGTTGTGGGTTCGATCCCTGTTCGGAGCAGGTGTGAGAGGCAACAAATAGATGTTTCTCTCTCACATTGATGTTTCTCTCTCTTTCCCTCCCTTTCCTTTCCTCTCTCTAAAATAAATTTTTTAAAAAAATCTTTAGAAAAAAATTGAAAGGAAGGGAAAACTTATTCCACATCATAAAAGATACTAAAATAGTTGAAAAATAGGCAAAGGACACCAAAAGGTAAGCATAGAAGAAAAACAAATCACCAATAAAGGTATTTTTTAAAGGTTTAACACCTTGACAAAGAAGAAGTGTAAATTTTTATTTTTTTTAACCTGGCTGACTAGCAAAGATTAAAAATAGTCTTAGGGACATGGAGATAGGTCAACCTGGCCTCCCTGCCCTGTAGTTCACTCTGATTGGAGAAAAAGAAGAGAGCCATAGAGCGTGGTTTCTGGGCCACCCAGACCACCTGAGTTCAGATACTGGATATGCCCCTCACCAGTTGTGTGACCTCAGGGGTGTCACCTAACATCCCCATGCTGTTGGGAGGATGGGGTGTGTAAATACATGGATAGGGCACATGGTAAATGCTCCCTATATGCTGGCCGGGAGGAGTGTTTTATTATTGCTACTCCAGCCAGAACTCTCTTACAGGGGTTTGGAGGTCCATTTACCTTCTGAAATTACAAGCAAAACTGTGTGAGTCTATGGATTTTTCTGAATAGAGGATCTAGAGCTTTTCCCAAATTCTGGGCGCCATGAGGCTGACCTGCCTCTCCCGTGACCTCCGAGGCCTCCCAACATGGCACCTTTTCCAAAGCTGCCTCCCTGCTGAGAACTCCATGGCAGTCTTGCAGCGAGGGCCTGGCTGGCTGCTGGCTTTCAGGGGGTGTTACTCTGCTGGGTCCGTGTGTCGTCCCCCCTGCGCCCCCGCACCAGCATTCACAGCAAATGGCCCCTTCTGTGCCCGAGTAGGGAAGGAGCTGGGAGGCCTCCCATGCCCACTGCAGGCTCTGCTCCAGCTGTTGGGGACAGACTCCCATTCTCTGCCTTGGACCCCGGGACTGTGGGCCGAACACAACCGAAAACTTTCTCTCCTTCGCATATGCTCCTTCTGAGGTCTGGCGGCCCTGCCCACGACGGGGGTGG